TTATTTTTTAATTTTTTTTTTTTTTTTTTAGGGAATAGAGCTAGCTTTTAAAACATATAATATTTGCGCATTCCTACTTTAAATTTTATAATTTATTTTTTAATTTATTTTTTTTCTTTTTTTTAAAAAATAAGGCTAGCTTTTAGAATGTACAATATCTGCGCATTTCTACTTTAAATTTTATAACTTGTTTTTTAATTTTTTTTAAATAAAGGGTAAAAGCTTTACTAGGCCTACTTTTAGAATTTACAGTATTATTACCTTTTAATAGCTAAATTATAAATATTATTATAGCTAGGTTATATTAATTTTATAAATATAAGGCTTTATATAAGGGGTAAGTACTTAAAGCATAAATAAGTTAGTATATATTTTTAAAATAGCTAAAAGGCAAAAAAAAAAAACTTAAAATATTTAAAAATAAAATAAAAAATTCTAAGTATAAATAATAAGTAGTACCTATATTACTATAACAGGCGCTTAATACAGAGCCCTAAGTAAAAGTAAGAAATAAAATAAAAATTTTTAGTAATACTAAAAGTCTGCTATATAAAAGTAAAGTAAGCGCTTTGCTTTAGCGCACTTTATATACTTTTAAAATTTCTAAGCTTTTAAACTAAAAATGTAGAATGCGCAGACGTAATACTTACTTTTTTTTAAAATTTTAAATTAAAAAATTAGAAAAAATACTATTTTAGGCTATAGCGCATAAAGCAAAATAGGTTATAAATAAGTTAAAAATACTCTAGTAAACTTTTAGTCTTTTTAAAGTTAATATAAAAGATTTTAGAAATACTATGCATTAATTATATAAAAATTTATAAAATTTAATACTTAAAATTTAAGTAATTATAATTTATAACTTTTTTATACTTATATAGGTTTGCTAAACTTGTTTTATTTTTTTTTATAATTGTTACAGCATTTTAGCTTTATATAACCCGGATTTAGTTTTAAAATAAATATACTTAGTATAATACTGCAAAAAATACAAAAACTATACTTATAAAAAAATATAAGTAACTTTTTTTTAAAATTATTAAACAAAGTTAATATTTTTTCCTGCTATTTTTAATAATTAACTAGCTAAACGCGTAAGTACTAATATATATAAATTTTAATATAATTTAATACAACGTACTGCTTAAAAATTAAAAAAGCTAAAAAGTATTTTTTAAAATTAAAAAAGTAGCATTTTGTGCTTGCTAAGTATTTTTAAACTAAAGTGCTTAATTTACTAGCTGCTAGCCTTGCAGTTTATTTGCTTAATTTTAGAATTTTAAAGCTTTATAAGCAGGATCTTTAAATAATATAATATTTTACTGTAAAATTTATATAGAATATGCCTTTCTTAACATACTACATTTCTAATAAGGCGGCCTAGAATATATAAGCTATTATTGTAAATATAAAGCTATAAACTATAATACTTTGTAAAAATAGCTATAAAAAAAAAGTTCTTTTTTTTCTGTCCTATTTAGAGCATTTTTGCCGTTTGCTAGACTTTATAATAATAATAATTAGTAAATTAAACTACATAAACTATAAAATATAGAAAATATACTATTTTTTAAATTTTACAGCTATAATAGCGAGGTTTTGTAACGCTACTACTTTAGAATACTAATTTAAATATATTAATTTTAAGTTTGTTTGTAGTAATACCTAGAATAATTACTACTTACTAAAGCTTTTTTTTTATAAATAATAGATTTTTAGGTTTTTTTTTCTATTTCTGCTGCTATCTAGCACAACGCTTAGTAGCTACAGTAGCTAAGTATTCTATTTTTAAATAATACTTTATTTTACTTTTAATTCTACGACATTTCTAGCACTTTGCCTATTATTTAATTAAAATTTATAATAAATTAAGTTATATTTAGTTATAAACCTATAGAGCAAATTCTTTAAATATTCTAGTATTATTACTATAATCGCCGCTAGGCGTAGGAAGTATAAACTAGAATTTTAATTAAATATAGCAAAAATTACAAATTATTATTTTATAAGGCTTGGATATATTAGCATTTTTTACTATAGGGTTAGTATAAACTAGAAAGCTATAAACTAGTAGAATATTTTAGTCTAAACTAGGTAAAATAAGAAGTAAATATATATTTTAATATTTTTTAATAGAAAACTCGGTATTTCTAGTATCTTTAGCTTTAGTTAAAAATTTTTTGCCTAGCTTTCTAGTATATACTACTTTTGCAACACGTAAAAGCTTACTAGTTTTTACTATTAGTTTTGCTATAATATAAAGCTATTATAAATATTTAAGTAAAAAAAATGCGTAATAGTATAATACAGTATCTACTAACTAATATATAAAAAAATAATATTTATAGTAAGCTTAAAGGCAGAAGTATAAAAAACAGCAAATAAAAACTGCAAAAAGCAAGGGCTTTATTTAACCTAGAAAATTGCTTTAAATATAGTATTATTTACTAAAATACTAGTACAATCTGTGCACCTAACTATGCCCTAATATATACTTAACTTATTAAAGTATAGTATTATAGAAAATATAAAAGTTATTAAAAATTGTATTAAGCTATATTAAAAATATCTAGCTTTTTCTACTATAAGTTGTACAGCGCTGCTTTTAAGCTATTAAGTTAAAGTAATCTTTGCAGGAAGTCTAGAACTAGTTAAAAATACTAACTAAATACTAAATAATTATAGTACTATTAAAATTTTTGCTTTAACTTCTATAATTACAAAGTTATATAATATTCTAGTATATAGTAGTAATAAACTATTGCGCTCTACTGCAGCAGAACAAGTAGCTAGCATATAACTATACTTATTTTTTAATTTTATATAAATTATAACAAAAGTTTTAAATAAAACTAGCATAGTTCTAAAAAAGCTTGTTAATATAGAAATTCTAAAGTATAAAATAAATTTACTAGCAAAGTTTCCTTGCCTATTAAAATCTTTAGCTAATTTAATAAAAAAAATAGGCAAAACAAATAATTTTCTGTAATTTTTAATATTAAAACTTACTTAAAAAGGAGTATAAAGATATTTAGCTATAAATAGTTTTAGTTATAGTATAAATAAAAAAATTAAACTTCTATATTAATAATTAGTTAATTATATTTTCTTAGTATTACTA